TTATCAGTAAACTGGTTTTCCCAATTAATTTGATACCCTCCTTAACGCCCATTGATGCGCAAAATCTGCAGGGCTACCTTTCTGTTTATTTTTCTTTGGGTGCCCACAATTGTGTGTTTCCACTTACTTGTCTCCTTCACAAAAAAGCTTTCTGAAAACTTCTTGGGCCCTGAAAACAGTAGTCAGAGAATCCCAACAAAATTGAATATTTCAGTAAAATTTCATTTCTTTTTATCATTTATTATTGTCCCGTACAGTTACTATTTTTTCACGCCACGGGTAATTAATTGTATGTATAAAGTCAATCACCTCCTACACAAGACTGGTTCCTTTCATGTAACTCATTTTTAGTTAAACCACAACCTAAAGCAACAAAGATGCCAAAGCTTATGCCCATTCAGGAAGGCGTTTAGAGAGAGAGAGAGTGAAAGGTAAGATTTGTAGAGAGAGAGAAAGGGAAAGGTCATGTGCTTCTTCTGATGTAACAAGAACACGAGCTTGTAGCTGTTAACCTACCCCCCATATCTCGTTTAATGTAGTAGTAGTGACATTTGTGTCACCGAAGAAAGAAAGAAAGGGGAGGGTTGTGTTTGCCTGTTTAGTTCTTGATTTTCTTGGGTTTGGACTTAAAAAAATGGCTGTTCAAGCGCAAAATTGGTTTGAGAATATGGGTTTTAACCCATTTGTCATGTGTGGTTCACAGGATTGGGTTATGGGGAATGATGATGGTTGTTCATATTTCCAAGAACAGAGGAAGAAGATTCATCAAGTTCTTGATTCTTGTGATAATCAAGCTTCTCCATCCCCTTCTCTGCCTATGGAGTTTCTGCAATCTTTATCATCTGATCTTCAGAATCAACACCTGGAAATGGATTTGTTGCTTCAGTTAGAGGTAAGATTATACTTTTGCAATAAAGAAATTTGAAATGAAAATATTCTTATTTCTTTAAGAAATAAAAGTTCTGCAACTGATGAGTTTTCTGTAAAATGTTTGAATATATGTATGCATGTTTAGCTACAGCAATTTATTGAAACTATACTGTATATTATCGAACAATACCAACTGAATATTGATGATCTATACATTCATGTTACGACAAGAAAAATGGGGTTTTCTTGATTTTGATTATTTATTGACACTGTTTCGATAGCGTGAAAGATGGAAAAATGTTTTTGAGTACTGTGTTACCAGTCTAAGGGCTTGAAACCTTGATTTTAAAATTGCTGATTTTTGCTGGGACAGAATCAGAGATTGAGGAGGTCAGTTATGCAAGAAGAAACAAGGCAACGAGCACTTCTACTCCATAAATATGAATCAAGAATTAAGTCTCTGATACTCCAAAAAGATGAAGAATTGGCTATGGCAAGAAACAAGACAACAGAACTCCTAGATTTTTTGAAAAGAGCGGAAATGGAGGCCAAAATCTGGAAGGAAAAGGCCATAGAAAATGAAGCCACCGTCTTTAACCTCAACAACAGGCTGAATCAAGTCAGAGAAAAAGACTATTTGATGTTCAATACTGGAGTCGAAGATGCAGTTTCATTTTGTGGTTCTTCAAGCATAAAAAACAGTATTCAAGAGGGAAAAGAATCTGAAGATCAGAAGAAAAAGATGGCTTGTAAATTGTGCCAAGTTAAAAACTCCTGTGTAGTTTTCTTTCCTTGCAGGCACCTCTGCAGCTGCAAATCTTGTGAAACAGTTTTAGGTTTGTGTCCAGTCTGTGAATCTGTAAAAGAAGCAAGCCTAGAAGTTCTCTTTTTGTGAGAAATTCTTGGAAACAAAAGGCAGTTTCTCGGGGAATACACTTTTCGATGGACTGTTTTGGTGATTTGACTGGTTAATCTATCTCGTTTTTTGCCATTTGGTCTGGTTCTTTTTTGGGTCTTTGTTATCTTAAATTTTTTGTACTTACTAACATGACCCAAATCGATGAGCATCATTACTGATGACAGAATGAAGTAAATAGCAAAGAAAATCTTGCTTTTCCCCTGTATAAGTGGTTCATTAGTTCTTTTCCTGATTTAGATTGCCTGCCATTGATTTGATCTTTCAAAGGTGAAGAAGTGCCAGCTCCACGCAAAGGTGGAAATCGTGCCATACCCTAAAGTATGTTGGGTTGCTCAAACTCGAATGATCGAACGCATCTTAACTTCAAAGCTCTCGACAGATATTTTTTTAAGAAAAGGATCTGTATAAAATATTGAGTTAAACTAGTTGGACGTTCTTTTTGTACAACGAGTTTGAAATTTCTTAATATTTCCAAATCTTGAGCATTGATTTAAAAAAGTGTTATTTAAATCAATGGTTTCCTCCAGGCTCCAGCTATGCTGCTGCCTTAGCCTCCTGTCCACTGCTGCATGTTAAAGAGTACTTTAATCTGCAACCTCTGCCAATTACCTAGGCGATTCACTGTAAAACGCCAAAATTAAATTATTCTCGTTAATTATGGGCATCAGTAATTGTACGGTCATATGTTGCAATTTTATTTTTTTCTTTGTTATTTAGGTCGTCGCCTGTTAGTGTGGGGTGTCCTTATCCTACCCTCTTTTTTTTTTTGGACGGTAGTTTCCTTTTGTGGCGTGTGCGAGCTATTGTTAATTAGGCTTAGGTTTTTGTTTGGGGGTAAGGTCTGTCCTATGGGTACATAGGCGTTTACTCGACCCCACACTCCCCTCACAATGGTGGAGGGCGCCATTATTAAGTTCACTTCGGGTGTTTGGGGGTAAGGTCTGTCCTATGGGTACATAGGCGTTTACTCGACCCCACGCTCCCCTCACAATGGTGGGGGGCGCCATTATTAAGTTCACTTCGGGCCCCCCTCATTGTGAGGGGGGCCATGGGGCACGCCCGGGTAGGGGGTAAAGCCATTTACACATAAAATGGGTACACCTTGGCGTACATACGAGTATGTGGTAGAAAATGAACGATTGAATTAATTATATTTGTTATGAAAGATAGTTGTCACGCGTTTTCTATAACGTGAATTTATGCCGCAAGTGTACGGTGTCAAGTTTTGTAATATAGTATGAAAGTTAGGATGTCGAACCCACAGGGATTGTAATTTAATTCCACTAAGTACTATAATTATGCAACTTCTATTTTATCTAGACAATTGATGAATGATTGGTTGATTGTTTTAAACTAAAGTAATGAAATTGGTTGAGACAAAATTGAGGAATATAAATTATCAAAATGAAGAAGCATAGGGAATGATTTCACCAACTTTCAATTATGATTCAATGATATCAAATTATCCAATTAATTTTCCAATATTTAAAAGCAAGAATCCAATTGTATTTCTCTCCCCTCTCTCGAGTGCCGGCTAGAAATTAATCCTACAATTCAATCCCAATATCTCTATTCCGAATTAAAGTCTAGAATTTATGAAAGTCCCGATTCTTTTGTGAAGTAAGCTTCATAGATTTTACACTTTCTCTCGAAACCCATAAAACCTACGTTGCGTCAATCCTATGATCACGCCTAAATTCCCCTCTCTCGAGTGCCGGAATTGACTAGCATCTATTCATTCAATTATTGATCAGGTAATTGAAAGCATTAAATTCATGACACAATTAAATACACGTGGGAAATCCAAAAGAAGTAATTATAAATTCATCAAATCATAATCTCAAGTGGCTACATCAAACCCTAGCTAAATTACTTAGTTCATGAAGAAATTCATAAAATCTAAACAATCTACAATGAAAAACATAAAGGAGGAGGTAAGAAAAACTCTTTTTGGAGTGTTGATCGAAGTCCCCTTTGATGTTTCCACCCTTTCTTCACTTGATTTCTTCAAATCCTTCTTCTTATTGTCCTTGAAGATTTAGCCGTTTTGTATCTTTTTCCTCCTTCTCCAACCTCTAAAATTAGGTCTTTATGATGGTATTTATAGTGTCCACAAGTTGCAAGACGAAATAGGGTTGGACCGGGCCGAAAATCTTTTAAAATTTCCATTTTTTCTCTTTCTCGGTATCGGGCGCCCGGGCGCCCAGATTGGGCGCCTGGGCGCCGCGTAGTCTGCTGATTTTCAGCATTGTGGGCGCCAAGGCGCCCATCTTGAGCGCCAAGGCGCCCGGTTCGCTGAAATTCAGTTTACGCTTCCTTCAGTATTTTTAACATAACTCTTTCTCCTGATATTCGATTGAGATGATTCAAGTTGCGTTGGAAAGCTAACTCAAAGGCCTACAACTTTTCTTCAGACATCATTCTCCAATTCAATCGTTTACTATGTCAAAAATGAGTCTCAATATGAGACTAAAAATTTGGAGCAAAACTTTTCGGTTGTAAATTGATTTGTGATCATATTTTGACTAAATTTGATCCCTTTGACATCTTTCTTCATTCAATTGGCTCCGATCACTCTCAAATCTTCATCGTGAGGTTCGGTATAACTTTTCAATATTTGTACTTTAGTCCCCGAAGTTTAGATCTCTTACAATTTAGCCATTTCTTTTCCAACTTTTGTTTATTTTCTTTAATCTCATCAACCTACATCACAACATCCAAACACGCATAAAAACACTCTAAAATTCTCTCAAGTATGACAAAATAACGAATTAAGTGACATAAATATCATGAGTGTAGAACACTCATCAATAATATGAAATCTTGCCAAGCTTAAATTCTGTAAATGTGAGTAAAAACGAGAATGTAAATGTGGCATGATTGGTTTGTTTGTCCTTACAAGTTGTGTTTGACGGGACTTTCTAAAAGTTATTTTGAGACTACCTCTATTTGAACTTCATTATCTAAAATTTCTTTTTTTTTCTCAAATTTAATTTCAACCATATATTCTACCAATAAAATAAATTTGTACGTAAATTCCAAACTTTTAACCACACATTCTAAAAAAAATTATTAAAAAATCTATTTTTTCAAGAAATAGGGCTCAAACAGAGCCTAATAAATTGTTTTTGAACATGTTTATATTTTTTTAAAGTACTTTGTCTTACTCAGGGGCGGACCCTGAAAATTTTTTCAGTGCGGGCGGTATTAGTAAAAATAAAATAAAATTATAATACAAACATTATACTAAAATGAAATACCTTACAATTGTTCTTTACGAGTTTTCATACTTTGATATCTTTGTACAATCGCCTCATTATCAATCTTTAAGAATATATCTTTCTCCACATAAACAATAAGACTATCATTCATCCACTCATCTCCAATTCGATTGCGCAATCTATCCTTTACAATGTTCATGGCAGAAAATACTCTCTCTACCATAGCAGTAGCAACCGGAAGAATTAGCGCCAAAGTCAAAAGCTCGTAAACCATTGGATATGATCTACTCTTACTTGTCAAAACTAACTTCTGTGCGAGAGCACTGAGACCATTTAATTCTTCAAACTCTTTGCTAGAGAGGACATCAAAAATGTAATTATCAAGTTGATCATCGAGTGTGAATATATCTACTTCTGAAAAATCTCGTGGATAAAACTTAGCAAGTTGAGTCAACTTTCTTTTATCAAAAGCAGAGAATGAATTTTGTGGACACAGACAAGCTACACAAAGGAGTAACTCAGTATTTACCTCCGAGAAACGATCATTCAATTCTTGAAGTTGCATATCTATGACATAATAGAATAAATCTACCTGAAAGTGATGCAAGTTGGTCATTTGTGGAGGATTACGATGAGGGCGACCACCATGTGCAGAACGCATAAACATAGCATCCATGTTTGGAATATCAATATAATGATGCTCACAAAAAGAAGAAACATGTTGCAAGAAAGAATCACAACCATCATCTCTCATAAGTTGGAGTCTCCTTTTGCAAACTTTCACCATGTCCATTGCGTTGACAATGTCTTGATCTTTCCTTTGTAATGCCTTTGACAAATCATTTGAAATTCCTAAGATATTTCTCATTAAATGTAGATTAAATGCAAAATCAAATGATTGCATTGACTCCAATAAATTGAATGCATCACTTCTTTGATCACAAGTACTTGATCTATCTTCAACAATTATTTCAAGTACATCAATAACAGCCGTAAACATGCTAATCAAGCTAACATTTTATAATAACATTTATCAACTAAGATAGAAAATAATGAATCACGAGATTCATCAACTAAGATAGAAAATAATGAATCACCAATATCTTTGATAATAACATTTATCGTTTCAGTAGCACAAGCACGTACTATATCCTTTTGTACCTTAGGGGATGTTAATTTGCAATTTTGGGGAGCATTTTCAAATGTCACGGCCTTAACCTCATGATTATGATCAGCCAGAAATTGTAATTGAACTAGAAAGTTACCTGGATTCAGAGAATTCTTAGATTCATCATGGCCCCGAAATGAATGCCCTTATCTCAACAAAACTCGAACACAATCAATTGATGCAATAAGACGGACACGATATTCATTTCTCATTTGTTCTGACTGCTTGAAGAAAACCGTTTGAATGTGTTGTTCTTGATTCATCAAAGCTTCACACTTAATACGAGCTTGATTATGTGAACTATTATGCTTTCCAACATGAGTACCAAGCCTCTTTTTATCTTTCCAATACGTGAATCTTTCACCAACAAATGAGTCGCCTCCACCTTGTTTCCCACTATTTGTTTTAAAAAGATAACAATACAAGCAAAAAGCTGCCTCTTTTGCCACACTATACTCCAACCAACCATCAAACTCGTTAAACCAAGAAGGATTGAATCGCCTGTATTCTTTTTCTCCAAATTGTCTTTTCTCAAATTCATGGTTAAACGGCTGACAAGGACCCTTTGCATATATGCTCTTCGAACTTGATCTCTAATGTTAGAATTGTAATTCAAGATTGGAGTCCTTAATCCAGGATCGGTGGGAAGTTGTGCAACATCAAAATCGTCTCCATTTGACGTCTCGTCATTAACATTTTTTGCAACCTCAAGAGCTTTTCGTTTATAAAATCTTTCCATGACTAACTGTAATAAATAGTAATTAGAATGTAAATAAACAAAATAAAATGTCTCGAGAGAGAAAAATAACTACGCAAAAAACGATAGGTAATTACTAATTAGAATTAGATAACATTGTCTTATGTCCATTGATTATTTTCCCACCTTGGGAGTTGGGATCAATAAGAAAACAAATAAAAAATTGCTCAACCATCATATAAGATTCTTTTCTTTAATTCTTTCAACTTTCAAGGTTTCTTGCTTTCTCTCTAGTCTCTCCCTTTGACTCTCCCTCTCGAACTCGAATCCTCGATAATATGATTCAGGTGAAGTAATGATCTTTGATTCTTTATACTCCAAAGATGAAAGACCAAACACCCAACACACAAATCCTATTTCGCAATAATACTCTACAGACTGGCGACTGCTGCCAATCCAATAGCAATTGAAAACCAATAGAAATTAAATAAAACTCACGGACTCACCTACAGTCCTACTGGCTACTGGGGTCTAGGAGCCTCTGCCTGGCTGATGAAAACTGGGCGCCTGGAGTCTGGAGATGCTGGTGGATGCAGACAGGGGTGGGGAGGTGAGCGGTGGGCCGGTGGCTGCAGCGTCGTGAATGCAGCGGCGCAGGGGCGGTTAATGAGTGGAGCTTCAGAAGAAACTCGTTTGGATTTTGGTATTGTAATGGGGCTTGCCATTTGGGCCATATAATAGGCACAATTGTTTTTTTTTTTTTTTTTATTGTATTGGGTTTATGAAAAAATTGGGGCGGCCCAAATCTCAGTGCAAGCATCTGCCTGCACTGGGCTGTAGTTGGGTCCGCCCCTGGTCTTACTAGAAGATTTTTAAAAAAATTTCATCGTAAATCTCTTTTACAAGAAGTAGAAACCCTGTTAAACGGTCTATCGATAAAAGTAGAGAATATCAGTCAATATTGGTATGAGAGAGGCTGCATCTTGAGCATAGACTTGAGATTCATGTAAATTATTCAAAACAGGCAATTTTTCTTACACGCGAGGTTCTTTATTGAGGTTTAGAGAGAAGTTATCATAGTTGGCAACAAATATGATGCTATCTCATTGTTTGTATAAAAAATTCAGATTATGAACAATTGAATAATGACAACTAAACTAGGTAATATCGTCAACTATTTTATTCATCGTGTAATATAAAGTAATTTCATTTGCAGGCTGAACTGTTCTTTTATTTATAGAAAAATATACTTCATATTTAATGATTTAATTAACATTACATGTGTAAGGAAATAAAGTTGTTAAAAATCGAGATCAAAGTTAACAATTAATTTTAATAACATATTATATTGGATCGATTGTTACTAACCACTTTTAATCTCTCATTTCATGGGACCCATCATTAAATTTATTTATTTATTTTTTTTATCGAAATCATCTTTTAGCTTCCCAGCATTTCAATCTCCCAAAACGAGTTAAAAGAATCCATGAATTTGAAAGAGCCTACAAGTTATTATATTTAGCCCATCGTGGACATCTCGTGAGATCTACTTACTTAATTTAAAAAGCTTTGTCAAACGGGGCCAAGTATATAAGTTTAAAGGTTAACACGAAATCTTATAAGTGTATTTTATATGATTATTTAAGTCCTTGAGATTACTTAAAAGGTGATTGATTAAGCTAAAATCTACTCACTTTATATTGTATTTGACTTTTATAAACCAATTTCCCAATGTGAAGGTAACTGGACTCAATTGGGAGCTAATTAAAAATATTCATAAATTTTGGGATTAAAAAGGACACTTGGAGAAGACTAGGAACCAAAATGGAAGGAATTGAAAGTCGAAGGATTAAAACAGAAGAGACCAAAACTTGAAGGAAATTTGGGATGAAACAAGGTGATTGGAAGTAAAGATGAAGAGTTGCGATCATGGATCAAACAACCGAAGGCCTAAGAAGCGAAATGAAGATTTGCATGCTGAGTATGTGAAGAAATTATAGCACAAAGGTTGGTATAAAGATCTTCACATGACAAATATTCTACCGTCGTAAAGAAAATGAAGTTCAATGCAAAAACAGATTGCAATAAAAAGTTGTGAATCAAATGGTATATATATATGTAGAGGTTTTGATTAATATATGAAGATTCAAGCTTGAAGATGTTCAACTTTTTGGAATTGAAGATTGAAAAGATTAATCCAACCCGCTTGGAATTGGAGAATGAATATTAATACATCGTCATAGATGAAGAGCGAGGGCTTCGGTGCTATGAGATCTTATAGGGTTGGTGTTTGTTAAAGCACGGGCTGCTTGTACTTCAAGATGACGTGCTTGTTGCAAATACCTCAAATTTATTTCTATCTTTCTACGGATAGAATATAAGTTCGTTTATTGTGAAATAAACCCTTGCTACATCTACCATTTTGCTATACATCAAATCGGAATGAGTCGGAGAGTCCCCCGATTACATATTCGAAATTGTTATGTTGGGTCGTTTTAATAAAAAATAAAAATAAAATTGACCTCATCTAAGAATAGGCTTATATTTCCTAAAAAGCGTTTGTCGCTTCTTAAACGCTTTTTAAGTCCTCATATGCTTTCTTCCCCCATTTCTCTCTCCAATTATTTCTGTTTGTTTTCTAAAGTAACCTTCGCCGGAAAAGACTTCTCCTTCACAGATACGTCGTCGTCTAAAACAATGCAACACGGCGATTACCCCTCCACTCCCTACTACCAGCAATACCCCCAAACCCACAACCCTAACGCGAACCCGATCGACGATTTAACTCGCTACCCACCACCGCCACCTTCTTATGCTTCCGCACCCCCCGTCGCCCCAAACAATTACGCCCCTCCTCCTTCATCCGCCGATTACTCCACCACTTCTTACCAGCATAATTCTTCATCCTATCCTCACTTTCCCCAAAATCCTGATACTCTCCCCACAGCGCCATCGTTTCAACAACCTCAACCCTCTTATTCTTTTCCCCAGTTAGAAGTCCATGGACAATACCAAACCCCGTCACCACAGAAACCGCAACAGCAGACGTATTACTCATCTTATGATCAGCCTGCAGCCAATTATTCCCCAAACCCTAAACCTGTTGGACCTAATACACAATACCCTTCACCGTATAGCTCTCAGTTTAATCAATCCAATCCACCTGTTTATGAAAGTACTTATGACCATTCTGTGAAATACGATCACCCGGGTGGTTATTTTGATGGGAATTACGGTCGGGGCGGGTCTGAGTCTGGTTCTGATTTGTATGGAAAACGACCTGAGAGTGGCTACGGTGGGTATGGGAAGAATGATGGGGGTTTTGGGAATAATGAAGGGGTTTATGCTTACAAAGGAAGCTCGGAGCCGTATGGGGCTCGGGGAACAGCTCCCAAGTCGTCGACTTGGTCAGGATTTGATGATTTTGGCAGGCCGATCGGGCATTCTTCTCCTTCAGGGAATGGGCGGTCAACAAATGCTGGGTTGAAGGTTGTGAAGGCAGTTCCGAAGGCGGATTCACAGCAGGATACGAATGGTGGGGTTCAGAAGTACAGAGTTAAGTTATTAGCAGAAAATGCTGGCCAGAGCACCATGGACGTTCTTTGTCAGGTCTATTATGCAGAAATTTCCATTAACGTTCTGTTGCAATTTTATTTTTACCTTAGTTGTTTATATTCTATAATTGTCAACAAATATCCGTTGTACTATGTTCATAAAT